TCCCTAAACACACAAGCGTGATAACCTCTTTATCATATAATGCCATTCTTTAATTCTGTGCTTTAAAATCGCTTTCCCTCTCTCACAAACATTACCGACAAATTGCGAGTTTTTCTGGAATGCGCGCATTAATATTTATTACGTCACAGGGTAAGTGATGTTTCAGTCGGACAGTGACAGTAGCCAATATAGTTCCAACTGAAATCTGTTTCTTATACAGTGGCGAAGCAACATATATGCAAAACAACAGTTGTTTTTAATTGCCTTTCGCGGCAATCCATCGGTCTGTCCGCTAGAGTACCTGCCCTTTGTCAAAGGGAAGCTACTCTAACCCTAGTCTATGAGACGTCACGGCCACGGTCAGACGTTGTTGGTGGTGTTTGTGTTCATTTAACACTTGGGACGTATTTCACCTTCGGTACGCTTAGTATATTCTTTGTGTCTGTTCTATTTATTTTCGCCCCGATTATGTTTCTAGGTTTGTCAGCACCATACCCGTGCTCTCGGGTTTCACCGAAATGGTAAACGTCTGAGACCTGCATCACTTCGGGCTTTCCTTTCACATTAAGCTGACACGCCTTGATATATCTGGAATACTGTTAAAAGCGGCGTTAAACCCAACTCACTCACTCATTCTATTTATTATGTTTATTACAGTGACACGGGAACTATGGTTGACTAATGCGTAGGAATGTTCGCATTGATTTTGTTTCTGGGGTTTTAAGCACCACACCTTGGTTGTAGGATTCAACAACATAGTAAACGTCTGACTGTACAGATACTGCCTTACTTTCACAACATGCTGATACGTCGTGATACAACCGAAATACTGGCATTCCCAACCTTCTCTCTCGCTCACTCGTTATCGTTACAATCTCGTGTCATTTGATCAATTGAAATAGATTCTCGGCTATTTTATATTGTTATAGGGTGAATACAATGAAGAGAAACATGGTTGATTTTTGCATCAGTTCGGCAGTCAACGGATAGTCTCAAGTTCAATCGTTGCATGTTTCTACTTGTACATATCAAGTGTGAGGTGACATTGGGTATCAGTCTGAACGTTTCCTGGTACTGACTAGTCTGTTACTGTTTTTTTAAAATATGTGAAACCTTTGTCCTCCCGCTTAGATAACACCTGAGAACTGAGAATGTCAAACTTAATCTGTTGCAGAACATTTAGACACATGACTCTTGTTGCGCTTTTCATCTTTTGTTTTTACAGGGAATATGAACCCGTACATCACGTCCTATATCCGTAATGCTTCCCACGACACAACCGATTTCCGGTATGCGGACAGTCAGTGGATATTTGCTGCTACAGATACACTCACGAATATTTGTTGAAAGGTGAAGATCCTCCATTTTGTATCCCTTGTGATGAGAGAATCACGGTCAAGCATGTTTTGCTTGACTGTGTTGATTTTGCCATCACAAGGGATAAATATTTCAAATCATCATCTCTCAAGGATCTTTTTTATACTATCAATTCTCATTTAGTTATTGGGTTTTTAAAAGAGATAGAATTGTTTAACAAATTTTGATGATATATATATTGTATAAAATGAATGACCTTTTAAAAATTAGTAGAACGAAATTATATCTGAGTTTGTTACTGGCCGTATCCTCCAAGGGGGTTGACGTAATGTAAAATTATTGTCCCCCTGAGAGGATATTGTAAGTCCATGTCATTCAAAGAATATTTCTGGATACTAGTGTTTTAAACGTAGAATATTTGTATTTTTACTTGTTGCTAACTTTGCATACAGTCGCCAGTTGCTGAGGGTATGATGTGAATCCTGCTGGGGTCCATGCAGGTAGCAAAGGTACTGTAAGTCCCCATGGTCCCCATGCAGTATGCTGGTCTGCCTTCAGCTGCTGATGATCTATAGCCAGTTTTTATATTGTGTCGACTGTTATAATCTGATTATTTTATTGTTCTGAAACTAGTTTTAAAATTGGAATCTGTGATATTTTGCTAGTTGTTATACTGTCCTTCGACGACAGGTCTTAAGATATTATTTAAATGCATAACTTGCTCAAGTCACGATATGGCTGAAACAATGCCGATGTGACTTTAAATATTAACTTACTCAATCACTCACTCAGTTGCTGCTACAGCATTTGGTCTTGCAGGATCTATTTTCCTTGGAGGACTTCTTAGAACTCGCTTTGGTCCCAGATTGCAGTATGTTGTGGAAGTTTCATAATGAGGTATTGCCACAACCAGGGGTGTACTTTCACACATCCTTCTCAGAGAGTGTACCAGTTATAACATGCATGTAGCTCAGCCACAAATAAGACGTTTGGACGACAAAAAGTGACTTTTTTTATCATCCCATGACTAATGTAGTTTAGAGAATATATGGCACAGGATAGATAGTACCCTGTTATTCTTCTGTTCTACAATCCGCTCGACCTTAATTTGCAGGATAAAAGTCAAACTATAAGGTGCTGTGTTCTATATTCAAAATACATACATTGAGACCATAAAAACCTGTCGTCGAAGGACAGTAAAATAACTAGATTTATCACAGATTGTTTTTAAAACTAGCAGATAATCATTTAAATATAACTCCATACGTAACAATACAAGATAAAAGTGAGCTATAGATCGCCAGCTTGATGTTTGGAATTGGCATAGGTACAGCATACGGTGCTCCGATGGATTGTGCAATGATGGTAAGGTTTTGTTTTGTATGTTTCAATTTAACTATAGTAATGTGTCATATTGAGGGAATCATCGGAGACGCCAGTGCCATTCCTTATATGGTCGGTGTTTGTGTTTGTTGAGACTTGTTAAGCATTGATTGTGCCACATATTGTAAGGGGTTGTTGATCTATGTTATCACTATTGTACTCGTATGCCATGGAAATGAATATTTGTCTTTGTATTAAGCTAGAATTCGAATACTCTGTTCCTTTAAAAGTATAATTCGTTTTCATAAAACAACTTTTTTAACATGGATATGGAAGACGACTTATGCTCAAAGACACTTTACAGATTCACAGGGGGCACGGCTAGCCCGATCGTCTAATTCGCTGTGCAGAGTTGCGTCCCTAAGCCACGCCAGAAACCTATGAATTTGGGTTCGAATCCCGGTTCGCCTCGATTATATTTCTATGTTTGTCAGTACCATAGCTGTCGTGTGTGTGTTTCACTGAAGAGGTAAACGTCTGAGATCGCATCGCTGTATTGCTTTCCTCACACATTGAGATGACATGCCATGATACAAATGGAACGCTGTTCAATCACATAACACACACTTATTTACATCCCGGATCCACAAGGTCTCCAAAGCAGGCGGTGACAAAACATATATCAGGTTATATCTCTTGAGAGAAAAATAATAATTTGTAAGACATCTGACACAATTTATGGGCTCAGTGAAAGTTCATTATGAGTAGATACCATTCATATGAATACATTGCCGGGAGCACAGGAATAGCCCCCTTCATTTGTCGTATTAATAACTGTCTTCAAACTCATGGATCAGTGGATCCCCCACAGGAAGGGACTCGCCAGCGGCTTGATCCTGGCTGGATTCAGAGGCAGAGCTTTCATTTTAACTATATCCAGAATTGGTACATCAACCCTGGCAACCTTGAACCAGATTACACAGTAGACATTTCAAAGTAAGTACAATTAAGCACTGTTGGCACATATATGGCCATAGCCCAAATGCGTACTAGCTGTTGAATGCATTATAATACGCGAAGTATGAACATCTACAGAATCAGAATTATAACTTAAATGATCAGTTTATGTTTCATATGTGTCATGCATTCTGATAACTCTCTTTTTGTTCATGATTTTCTTCAGTTACTTTTCTCAGCTGCTGGAGAGTTCCGCGCATGTTCCTCATCCTTGACGCATGTTATGCTTCTCTACAAACCTTGGGAATCATACTTCTTAGGCAGCCACCTCCCACCTGGGTAGTTTGTAAAGTTTGTTTGTTTGTTGTTTAACGCCGAAACTCATCAATATTCCAGCTATGTGACGGCTGTCTGTTATTAATCGAATCTCGACCAGACAATCAAGTGACTGACATCATGACCATCTATCTACGCAATTGGGATACGATGACATGCATCAACCAAGTCACCGAGACTGACCAACCGATCCCGTCAGTTGCCTCTTACGAGAAGCATAGTCGCCTTTTACGGCTAACCCAGATCTTCACAGGACTGGTTTGTAAAGACATTTTGAAAATAAACAAAGTTTTCCAAAATAAAGTAAACGCCATTTCTCTTCAGCAATATCAATAGCTAAAGTAGACATTTCTCATTGTTATTTACATTTCTGGATTAGTTTTTTAATAATCACCGTTGACTTTATGAGAACCAAAATATTTTTAATAACATATCAATTGAGATTGGATCATTCGATTATGCAAGATTGGTTGGGATCGGTTTCGTAGTTTTAAGTAAATCAAGGCTTACCTACTGTAAGACAATACATTGTTTGGAATTTATTTTTATCAATAACATAGAAATAAGTCTGCAAGTAAAAGTGTTATTAAAACAATCGACAAAATGGAATATATTAATCGCCCTCTGAGCAATCAATGAGTCAGTAACGAATTACATGCGTAAAATGTGATGGTGATGGTGACGTTATCTGCCCAACTGGATATCTTTATTTAGGAAAGAGGAAATGGAGAACAATGAAACGGAAGAGGAAACACTCCCAATTAACCGATCTTGGAGCTGGAATGATAGGGAAGAGGAACGGTATCATCTAACAGGTACATATAACCGTTATGACAAAGCTTTGTACCTATATTTGAGAATAGCCTCAGTCAACATTTGCGTGCCATATGTACTGCCTCAAAAGAAGGAGAGCAACTGGCTCACAACAGGTTTACACAACGGTATAGGTTATCACTGCCATCTCTCTAAATGTGGTCTGAAGAGCCCAGGTGACCTTCTTTACACGCTCAGTAGTGTATAGCAAATGTGTTCCAGACAGAGGAACCACAATCTGTACACTGGAGAAAATGCTGGAGGCAAAAGGAATTCTGGATTTTGGGTTCATATTGCTCTTCAACTGCCACGGATTAATCGTCTTCTCAACTGTCTGGATGGTGAGTGAGTGAGTGGTTGAGTGAGTGGTTGAGTGAGTGAGTGAGTGAGTGAGTGAGTGAGTGAGTGAGTGAGTGAGTTAAGATTTAACGTCACATCGGCAGTATTTCAGCCATATCCTGACGAGAAGTACATTAATAATACATAGATTTAGACTAAATAAAAAAGCTGTCAACGAAGGACAGTAGAATAACTAGGATATCACAGATTCGATTTAAAACTAGTTGAGAATATATAAAAGCCATAAATATCAGTGAACAACACAACATAAAAATGGGCTAGAGATCGTCAGTAACTAAAGGGAGATCACCATTCTAGAGACTTTGGGGACTTACAGTGCCTTTGCTTCCTGCATGGACCCCGGCAGGATTTATATCATCCCTTCAGTCACTGGCGATAGTTTACCAGTTAAGCCTAAGTTTTAAAATAACAAAAATGCTACGTTTTAAAAGTCTGGTATGCATAAAAATACTTCGAATGATTTGTGACTTACATACCCTCTTAGGGGGACATTTGGAAGGTGAACATATCACAAGAGGATTGTCTGACGAAGGATTTCATTCCAGTTCTTACCATATTTATGTGTACATGTAATTAAGTATCACTAACTTCCTACCAAAGTTACTGACTGGTTTGTTGGTTGGTTGTTTAACGCCGCACTCAGCAATATTCCAGCTATATGACGGCGGTCTGTAAATAATTGAGTCTCGACCAGACAATCCACTCATTGATATCATGAGCATCGATCCTCGCAATGTGGGATCGATGACATGCATCAACCAAGTCAGCGAGCCTGACCACCTGATCCCGTTAGTCGCCTTTTACGACAAGCATAGTCGCGTTTTACGGCAAGCATGGGTTTGAATTTTCACGGGTCAAGTTACTGACTGTGTGAGCTTAATGTAACAAAAAGACAAAATAACTGTACCGTATATCGTATTCTCTAACCTTGGAAATATGCCCCCGTTTTGTTGTTCTAACTTCCGACCATCAACACAAACAACTAATTACATTATGAAGCTAAGTTTAATTTGTCAAATATTGAATGTCAGTCGATGACTTGCATGAGCACGATTTCTTATGCTCTGACAATGAGACACCTTCATCATTTTCAAGTGATGTAATTATGAACATGTGTGCCTATAATTTCAGACATGCGGACAAACATTCATTGAAGGTGACAAATTCCCCTCACTCGTTGGAAGTTTTGGTTCTATCTTCAATGCAGCAGGTCGTGGGTCATGGGGATACTTTGGCGATAAGGTGTCCTTCAAGGTAGGATGATCAATTTAAGAATAATAGGTTCAAATCAATAATACAATACATATCACATGTACACTATCATTGCGAGCCAATGGTGTCCCTTTTCAGCTGGCAATACTTTTTTTTTTATATACGTTCATATTTCTGTGGGGGGCACGGGTGGCCCAGTCGTCTAAGGCGCCGCGATTCGCTGTGCAGAGTTGCGTCCCTTGGGCACGCCAGAAACCTATGATTGTTGGTTCGAATCCCGGTTCTCCCCAATTATGTTTCTAGGTTTGTCAGCACCATACCCGTGCTCGTGAGTGTCACCGAAGTGGTAAACGTCTGAGACCTGCATCACTTCGGGCTTTCCTCCCATATTAAGCTGACACGCCGTGATATAACTGGAATACTGTTAAAAGCGGCGTTAAACCCAACTCACTCACTCACTCGCTCATATTTCTGTGCTGCAGTGTTCTGCTGCTATGTTCCTCCAGACATCCATGGTGTGTATCTGTGCGCTTTTCACAGTGCTCATGTCCATCTTCAACCTGACAAAACTTGCCGACGGGAAGGCTCTTTTCTTCATTTACGTCTGCCTCACATTCGGCACCTTCTCCGGCAACTACTCCCTCATCCCAACTGCAACCGCCAGGACCTTTGGACAGGAGTATGAGATGTTGTTTTCGTCACAGGTCAGTTGCCAGGCATATAATGAGGCCCTAAATATAAGAAATATATTCACACACCTTAGGAAACTTTTGATGAATAATCTGCAACGTCCAGAACAAAAAGTGAAAAAAACATTTCAGTTATCTTAAAAAGATATGTCTGAGAAACGTTACGATTCGGACGACATCATATCAAGTTATCGAATCATCTGTTTATCCCAAAGCATAAGTTAAACGTCTTGGTCAAATTACCATAATTTGATTTTGCCAGTTTGAGCAGAAATGCAGATTCATATGCATAACTAGAGTCTTCAGAAGATGACAAATCTCCCTGTTTTTGAGCTATCAAAACAATTCCATGAAACTGGGATTCGGAACTAGTATGTTAAGTTGTTTTTTAAAAGATAAGATTTAGTGGATGGTACAAAATTGGTATTTGGCTTATGCTGCAATCGGTTATCTTTAGTTACTGAAGCTCACCTGTCACTTTAAACTTATGACATCTTTCATATTGCATTTCCTTCCTGATACCTGCCTTCACTGCTAACCAGATATCCAGACAATCACAAGAAAATAGTAAATCATCTAAAAAACATTTGATAACCCGATCAGTTTCATGAACGAATAGTTATTTGGTTTGAAGATGGGATCCAGAAAAACAAAACGATTAAGAGACAAGCTGATTACTATACCCAAATTTGCTTACCGAGGGTATATAAAAGGAGATCAGTTGGTTGGTTGGTTTGTTGTTTAACGCCGCACTCACAAATATTCCAGCAGCGGTCTGGAAGTAATCGAGTCTGGACCAGACAATCCAATGATTAATATCATGAGCATCGATCCACGCAATTGGGATCGATGACATGCATCAACCAAGTCAGTGAGCCTGACCACCCGATCCCGTTAGTCGCCTTTTACGACAAGCATAGTCACCTTTTACGGCAAGCATGGGTTGCTGAAGACCTATTCTACCCCGGATAAAAGCAGATCAGCAAAAAAGCGAGCACAGTTGGTGCCCACGGAGATGCCTACGTCTTGCTCAAATGTGTAACCCCGATAGATTTCGATGGATGTTATCCATGTTATCAACACCAGCATTTCACAACAGTTCTCAGTAAACTTTAGATGACAACTGCTTTAATTTGGGACAATTGTCCTGAACCTCTGACGGTAGATAGGTGTATCCAAGGGCACCATGGCAGCTGGCCGGCACAGAATGGGATTATTCCCATTATTCTGATTATTTACTGGCTGTCTTAATACATATTGCTGGCTGAAACACAACAACTTCCTCGCACTATGTATATGACTGCAAGGCCCGTGGGGAATTTCCCATTCCTGACAATTTGTCAAATATCAATGTTTAGAATGAATGGTTACTGCCCCGTCTCAAAGTATTTACGTACAGGCAACGGATAACAACATCAATAACGCGATGTACGTGTAGGCTCTATATTCATAAGTGCACCTTATTGTCTGTATAAGGTACACATTTGAATGTAATAGTTTTTCGTTTCAGTGAAATGTTGATGCTATACCGTATGCACGTTTGCAGAGTGACTGTTAAATGTATAGCAGCATACAGCATCATATCAATCACACAGGCTTACACATGTTGCTTTTGACAGATTGACATTGCTCCTGTCAGAGCGCTGCTGACGTCTAATCTTGCCGACTTGATTGGTTGGTATGGGCTCTTCTGACTGCAGTAAGTTTGTAGATCATTCTAATTTGCTTGCTAATTTATTTTGACACTGAAAATTATAGTTCACCAGCAGATGACTGTCATTATCAAATGGATGGCACAATGTAATGTTGTCAGTGGGGTGTATCCTGTTTCCTATGTTGTTATATTTATGTTTAGTTTGTAGTAATAATATAATGTGGTTGTGTTGATGTTTCACGCCGCACTCAGCAACGTTCCAGCTATATGACGGCGGTCTGTAAATAGATCGAGTCTGGACCAGACAATCCAGTGAGTGACACCCGAGCATCAATCCACGTAATTGGGATACTATGACATGCATCAACCAAGTCAGCGAGCTTGACACCCAAACCCGTTTGTCGCCTCTTACGACAAGCACAGTCACCTCTTACGCAAGCATGTGTTACTGATGACCTATTCTACCCCGGATCTTCACGGGTCAGTAATAATGTGAAAGACATGTATACCTTATATACTGTAGCCTAAGATAAGATAAGATTTTGTTAAGTACAACATATTCGTCAATGATTCCATGAAAATACGTTTCATTGTGATACAGAATTTAATGCTTACCTTTAATTTCTTTTTTGTAGGTTTCGTATTAATGTTTTTCTTCAACAAGAAGATTCCGAATGGAAAAGACGTGTAATATAAAATCACAGGTCTATGTCAACTGGTGGTGAAATGACTTATTGGACCATAAAAAAGGTATCAGTTTCCTTGTGTGTGTACCTTCCACCTTAATCCAAACTATATTTCGCGCTCAATGGTAGACTTTTAACATCTAAAGCCCATCATTCATTATGTATGATGAGGCACATAAACATTGAATGTAAACTGATTTGGAGAGTGCACTGTCTTATCGTTACTGTATTGTGAAAGAAAATGTATACATTAAACCAATTCCAATATACAACTATATTCTGGCAATCCCTGCCTATTTCACCATGTGCAACAATATTAGGACGTTTTTCTAAAAAGGAGTCTTTCCTTACAGAATCGGTCACTGCTTTGACTGCTGTCCAAGAATCATCAATGGTTATGCATCTTTCAACAAAATAAGCTGGGTTTGCTTAAAAACGACGTTAATTCCAACGAGAGATGATGAATGTTATTTTATCAAAAGTCAGAAGCCTTGGAGACTAGCTTGCTGAAACTTTGGTCATACCCACTTCATTACCCAGAATGCTATCAGCGACTGTATTGGTCATTTGGCGTGTGGTGAATCCATAAAAACATTGTGTTTTCAAGATTTTCCTTGCTGGTCGGAGTTTAGTCAGTTTAAATACTGATTACAGTCGCCAATTCAGGAAGCCGTCGTCGACAATTCTCTTAATTCGTTCAGTCATCCTAATTTATATTATAAAACATCACCTCCAGAGAATAACCAATGTCTACTATACGTCAAATCAAAATACGCCAAAGACAAAATAGCAATGAAGATTATATGAATCGATCACTGAGAGTGAGTGAGTGAGTGAGTGAGTGAGTTGGGTTTAACGCCGCTTTAACAGTATTACAGTTATATCGCGGCTTGTCAGCTTATTGTGGGAGGGTAGCCCGAAGTGATGCAGGTCTTAGACGTTTACCACTTCGGTGAAACCCGCGAGCACGGGTATGGTGCTGACAAACCTAGAAACATAATCGGGGCGGACCGGGATTCGAACCCACAATCATAGGTTTCTGGCGTGCCCAAGGGACGCTACTCTGCACAGCGAATCGCGGCTCCTTAGACGACTGGGTCACCCACTTCAATCAACATATACTTGTATCAGGTTAACGACAGGGCTGTGGCACTAGTATCCATAGTCAGATAGATGAGTAACACTTTGATTAAATCAGTGAATGTGCCCTTTCACTTTTTCTGAACATGCATTGCACATCTCGAGGGAAATCGGTGTTAGAGTATGTCGCCAGCAACCTATACATGTCATGAAAATCGATTTTTTAAAATTTGTGATCAGGCTCAGTTACTTGGTTGAAAGGGTGTGATCGTAGACAGAAGAAATATCACAATATCAATCACTTTATTATTTAGAGGCCACCTCCAAAAAGAATATTGCTGCTTTAAACATGAAAAGGGAAAAGCGAAATCCTACATGAAGGACTGCACGTATCGCATATGCTTTAGACGTACAAGGTCTTCATTATCTTAAATTATCAGTACCACGACTAGTGAGCCACACTATCATACTGATTATAGCAAGTCAGTCTATGTCACTATCTGTTCGTGTAACATTGTAACAACAACTTTTTTATGGCCAATAACTTGTTATCTCCTACCGAGACCGTAATATCAACACCTTTCTGAAAACTCAGTTGCTTTTCCCACCGATATAAATTGAGTGATTCATCCTTCAGATATTTTCATTACTTTAGGTCTGTTAATGAATGTTGGTCTTGAAACGTTGTTATATCACTACGAGATGTTGACATGAGAGGGAACCCATACTGTGACACAAGAGCAGGAACGGTTCTTACATCAAAGCATTATCGTGGGAATCTAGGGATTCCTACAGACCATCATCTGATCCTGGTAGCTAAGGGACAGAACTCTGTACTAGGGCCATGCTAACCTAGTATACCACTTAGCATGCTAATCAACATTCTCAAAACTTAGCGTCACAGTGTGATACGCAATGTACCATTATCTGTATAAGCTAACTACAATTTGATATAATGACAGCTGAAAACAATATGTACGTTTTGCAAAAGAATTATGTTCGAAACCCTTTTCCTGATTATTGTGTAACCTTGTGATCAAGGTACCTTTCCTCTCTCTTCAACAGAGGCGTTTGGAAAAGTGAGTAACTGTTACTTTGGTAAATATATCACTCATACGCTGCTGAAAAAGCAAAAGGTACCGGCATTGATTTGAATGCATTCAGCTTCACATGCCTCTTGAGAAGAAAGTAAACACGAGTCTTACATATAAGCACATTAGTCCATCTAAACCGCGCAGAAGACATAATGTGAACAGATGTGTCTACTCGTCATCTTTGTACCATTTTCACTCTACATCCCAAAGCAAATTCATCATCAGGTGCACATATAACATTTGTTTATGTTATCAGAATGATTACTTATCGTAACATCCCTTTTCGGCCATGTCATAACTAGATGTCATTCAACACAATCTATATTTCGACAGCGGACAGTCCATGGTATTATATTCTATAGATATAGAATCTTAGGATGCTATCATGTATAGAAACTGTTGTCATCGTACTGTGGAGTGATTGGTTGATGAAATACAATCTAAAAGACAAGGACAACAAGAGTATACAATTACTGTATATAAACATTTTATTATTCACATACATTCAGGAAGGCACGTGTCGGAGACCTGTGACTCCCTTTACGACATAAATGGTTCATTTTGTATCATATATTGATACGAGTTTTAGCATGTAGTGAAGCCTGATGGTGTTATCAATATTTTTGGTTGCATTTTGGAAGCCCCGAGCAAAAACGCAACATAAAAAGTGAATCGCCAAAACGCACCATTTCAATGAATATGTAGGTATCATGCACCCATTTCTCGCGAAACCGAAAATGCACGAACTGTCACGAACTGTAGTGGGTAAAAAATTGTGGCCGATTCTTGGACCTACCACTCCTTGGTCAACAATGCCACGCCTAAATCAAATTCAGAGAAACCAGGCTATCGGACGTTTGGAAGCTGGAGAGTCTGTCCAAGATGTTGCCCGTCATTCCAACATTAACATAACCACAATTTACCGTCTCCTGCATCGATACAATGCTACACAGACAACAGATGACTTTCCTCGGAGCGGTCGTCCTAGGGTCAGCACACCTCGACAAGATCGGCAGATTACCCGTCAACACCAGCGACATCCGTTCCTAACAGCAAGTGAAAGTGCTCGACAGACCTTAGGAACACATAATCGACACATTAGCCGGGACACTGTGATCCGACGTCTCCGTTCCAACAACCTCAGGTGTCGCCGACCAGCACGTCGTCCTGTTCTCCAACCACGGCATCAACAAGCACGACTTCAGTGGGCACAGGGTCATCGCAGTTGGCGTCATCATGAGTGGAGGCGTGTCATCTTCTCTGATGAAAGTCGCTTTTGTGTCTCCCATGCAGACAGAAGAGTCAAAATTTGGCGGTGTCGAGGTGATCGTTTCGCTGACAGAAACGTTGTGGAAAGGGATCCATGGGGTGGACCTAGCGTCATGATATGGGCAGGGATTTGACTTTATGCGAGGCATGGACCCATGTGCTTTCTGAATGTTGGCCAAGGTCGGGGACACGGCGTCACTGCTCAGTGGTATATCGACCAAGTGATCCGACCCCACTTTGTTCCATTTTTTGCACAACATCAACAACACATTTTCCATCAGGACAACGCTCGTCCCCATGTTACCAGAGCTACCATGGCCTTTCTGCAACAACACAACATCCGTTTTCCACCGCGGCCAGCCTTCAGCCCTGATCTTAACCCCATCGAACACTTTTGGGATGAGGTTCAAAGGCGTCTACACATCGTGCACCCAGTCCCTACAACTGCCGATGAACTACGCACAGCTGCTCTGGATGTGTGCAGGAGGATCCATAGGGCCTTCACAAATCGTCTGACCCACTCAATGTACAGGAGATGTGTTGCAGTGATCAATGCTAATGGTGGTCACACGAGGTATTGACTGACATTTTGGGTATTGGCCCGAAACTGTGTAAGCCCTTAACATTTGAAAAAAACAATTATGTCATCTGCCTTTTAATCCATTAAACTGACTTCAGTCACATTTTTGTCAATCTTGCCCTATTAGTATTTCTTGTCTTTACTGTTGAAAATAAATAACATGTATACAGCATACTCGACATGCGTTTCTTTTGCGTGTGAATATATAAATATATATATATATATATATATATATATATATATATATATATATATATATATATATATATATATATTGGCTGGTCATGCTGAGCCCTGTGCATTCAAAATTGTATTTGCACAAATAATATTTCGGAATTATGTTTTACCTGATGTTTAGCACTTATTATTATAACTGATGTTTTAGTAGAATTTCAAATATATGTGTTTCAAATATATGTATATCAAGTATGAAATTTGCCTTGGTGGTGGCTCATGGACCAATCTGCTGGAATAGTTACTGTTTTAATTATTCTACTTCAGTATATCACCCACGTATCCTTGGTGCTGCAAGTTGGAGATTCACTTGTTATAAGCATCGTCCTTATGACGCTCCATGGTGGGTGGGGAGCCCGGGTGACGAAACAATAACAATTAAACAAGGATTAAGAAACCCCCTAAAAAACCGTCCGATTGAAGTTGATGATGAATAGCGATCGTCCAAACCTATTGATTACTGGCCACGTTTCATTGTGATTGAGACTTTAGATTAAACACCTTTTAAGTTGAACCCTTTCGCAGTATCTAAGGGTATACAACTATACATGGCATTACAGGTGACGTCAAAACCATTAAACGTTTGAGTTCAGGTGCATTGTTAATTGAGTTCAGTAAAAGGCAGCTAGCAACAAACCTCTTGTCAACTGAATCTTTTATCAGCGCCCTGGTTTCGGTCTCTGCACACTGAACACTCAACACCAGTAAAGGAATTGTGAGGGACCAAGATCGACTGTTTGCTGACATGGCTGAAATTGATATCTTCTCAGAAATGAAAGACCAAGGTGTTACTTTTGTCAAACACTTCACAGCCCGTAAAAACAATGTAACATCTAGACGTTCAGTTACTCTTCAGTCGACGCAGTCGAAAGTAAGTGCAATTATCATACCTGGTTCAACTAGCATTGGTTTCAGATGGAACAGGGGCGTTTATTATTTCAACGTCTCGTAATTTGAACGTTGTGTTCTATCGTCCAACGTCACCCTTGACGAAGCCCCATACCAACTCGATTGGATTCAGGTCGCAGTGATAAGGTGGCAAACGTAAGACAGCGTGACCCTGACCCTTGATGTAACTGTCAACTTTATACACGGGGTCAGGTATCATAGTTTTGATGATTTCATAGAGCTGTTGTTTCGTCGCTCGAGAAGGAAAGGTAATGTTCCTCCGTTGCAGCCAAGTAACCATGTCTCCTTTGCGGTTATTAGAGGTTGGAGTCTTGCTTTCTGGATCCTGCACACTATGATACGGTGCATTGTTCATGACAATGAGAGACTTGGTAGGCAAAGCAGGGACTAATTTATCTTTCACCCACTCCAGAAATACATTGCCGTTCATTTCTGTGTGGTAGTCCCTGTTGTCTTTGGCCTTGGCTCTAAAGACGAGGTCACAGTCTGGGAGAAAATCCTGACCAGCAGAACCAGCATGGAGAACTATGAGTCCTTCACCCTTTCCCATTGGTAACTCCTTACAGTCACTACTGGGTACCCACTGACTGCTGGCTATGTGTGACGCATTTACCCATGTCTCATCTAAGAAGACGGGCTCATATCCTTCTTCATGTTTCTGCTTGATGGTGCGAAGGTAATGATTTCGGAGACGAACAATGTCAGACCGTTCACACAACACAGCCCTATTTTTTTGTATTTGTAACCAAATGTATGCAACAGCTGCCATAGTTTGTACTTTGTAACACGTAAATCATGGTCAGTTTCAAGGTGTTTCTTCAAAATTCTTAGGGACAGGTACTTATTTTCTGAGTGCAGTTTAACAATTGTACGTCTGACTTGATCCCTCTGAAAACTGTCTAATTTATCAACCTTGCGTGGTGTTGACATGTTCCCTACCTCCTTGGCCTGACTATTTGTATCTCGTCGACTAACAACATTTTTAAATTTCTGAGGGGACATACCAAGAGCTTTTGAAGCTCGTTTCAAGAATTTATTAATTACATTAAAAGGCTTTGCTCTTTCTGCTTCACTTCTAAAGAAATCATACACATTCAACATCAACTGTTTAACATCTGCTGAGTAGCGCATCTTGTCATTGAATGAACACGGTCACTGCGTAGCACGTGCAGACCGTGCTTGCGCTGTGCCTTCCACGGTTTGTCCCCCCTACGTGCCATGTACCCATTTCTATACAAAATTACACGATAGTTTCTTAAAGAACTTCATCCGTCATGGGTCTTAAAATAAACAAAATTCAGATTTTGTTGGGTACAGGGTATTCATGGTCAAGTACCGTATTGATGTTTCATACACTTTTCTGGATTTCGAGTTATTTTGCAATTCATCGTTCTCATTTGGAGTCAAACGGACTGCAATAACGGACGCTGTTTGGCCTCAGAGACATATGATGTTTTATGCCGTTTGAATTAATGTATTCAGACAGTCTGGTTTGTTTCTTTAAAGTGGTAATCCTGCATCACTTCGGGCCTTCCAACCACATTCAGCTGACACGCCGTGATATAACTGGAATAGTGTTAAAAGCTGGGTTAAACCCAACTCACTCACTCACTCACTCACCCACTCACTCACTCTCCTATTGTCATGCAGTCGAATTTTTGGTCACTCTGTATCTTTATATATGGACGACTTTCACATAGATGTTATTAATGATGAAGTCTAACATTTCTCGTATGAAAAACACATGCTTATGTTATTGTCGGAATCGCACAATGGGCACTGCTTTTAGCAAGGGTGTATGGTTATAGAAACTGTGTGTCACAATTGAATCATTTGCGGGGCATCAAACTTTCTCCCCAGTCAGTCGATACTGAAACATGTATATTTTCTAAAATATTGATGACAAACGAAAAAAACAATTCCAGCAAAATATTGATTTGCTTTATTAATATACACGTTGATTAACATGGAAGAAAGAAGTAAAAAGTAAGCAAACAAACATGTTAATTGAATTGTCTCAATTTGGCAAATAAAGAACATGAAAGTAAATTCATGAAGCGTTACGTTTCTAATGAGATAATTATTATGCATATATTTATGTTTCCACTGAGTGAGTGAGTGAGTGAGTGAATATTGCTTAACGCCGCATCAGCAATTTTGCAGCTATTCGCGGCGAGAAATGTCTTTTTGTCAATAAAGTAATAGTGGTGTTGAAAATCACTAAAATCTCAGTCATGTATCACATTCATAGGTAAAAGACTGACTGTTCAGGTAAAAATCTATATTTTATATTCCTTCAATATTTAATATATCAATATTTAATTTCCTTCAAATACGCTAAAATCAAGTGATTAGAAACTGTGTTAAAAAGTTCAGATAAGGTATGAACATTATCATAAAAACGTTGTCTGACAAGTGCAAAATCAACACATTCACGCAGAATGTGCTTCATAGTAAGAGGGCTATGGCAAGATATACACAACGGTGGGTCTTCACCCTTCAATAAAAATGAATGTGTATAATGACTGTGGCCAATGCGGCACCGCTTTAAAACAACTTCATCATGACGATATAAACCAGAATGTGCATTACCTCCAATCAGTGGTTTGATAGCATGAAGTTTGTTCATAGTCTTGGTATTCCAACTTTTTTGCCAGTGATCATTCACATATTGTCTGATGGAGGGTTTTAGATCAGAATATGGGAAGTTTGTGTTTGAAGTTGGTTTTTTAAGAGCGGCTTTTGTCGAAGAATCTGCTTGACAGATGCCACTGATGCCAACATGACTTGGCAGCCAACAAAGAGTTATATCTTTTCCAGCTACGGATCAATTGAGAAGACAGCTTAAAATGTCAGCTAAAAATGGATGATCCACTTTTCGATTTTTGATTGCCTGTAAACAGGACTCTGTTTGCACTGAATCGTGATATCTAGGTTTGACATTAACTGAACATGTATAAGCATAGGCTGTTTGAGGATTATGTCATCCCAACGTTTCTATTTGGAATAAAAGACAGCCACATCCACTCTAGGTGACACGAAATAAATCACACGTGCGTGTCAGTCAACACAATAATATAGATTGTAAATACTGTAACTAATATGAAATCACCATGTCAATCAATAATTATATAAATATTTAGAGACAATATACACTTTAGTTGATAATTTCCTGAAGGTGTCCTTGAATCAGTGAGTAATGGAACCGAGTTGTAGGTCTCATCACTTGATGCTACTCGAAAGGTCGCCTCTTTTTCAACGCTATCATCAGCAGGAAACCTAGAAAGAGAGTAACACGACAATAGACAAGTGCATGGTTCGACTATTTGGAAAGACATTCGTCCATTCAAAGCAGCCGGGATGTCTCATAAGATCACCAACACTAAAGATTATGTCAATAACAACACTAATTTTTCAGGTATGTGATGGCGGTCTGTGAATAATCGAATCTGGACCAGACAATCCAGTGATTGACATCACGAGCATCGATCCATGCATATTAAAGTGAGTGAGAGTATGTTTTACGCCGCTTTTAGCAATATTCCAGCAATATCACGGCGGGGGACACCAGAATTGGGCTTCACACATATTACCCATATCGGGAATCGAACCCGGGTCTTCGGCGTGACGAGCGAACGCTTTAACCACTAGGCTACCCGACCGCCCCCATGCATATTGGAATACGATGACATGCATCAACCATGCCAGCGAGACAACCCAAATCATCCCGTTAGTCGCCTCTTGCGACAAGCATAGTCGCCTGTTACAACACGAATGAAACTATGACACTAATGCAAGTAAGACGGTGGACGTCTATGCTGTTGGAGGTGCGGCCAGACGCAAATGCTGATGGTACCTTATTTCGTAACAATGGAAGGGAACGTGAGTTATGTGGTACTCGCTGTTATGGTCTGACAGCAGGTATGCCGTTTCTATTGTTTTTATATACGAACACACTCGTACAGCAGAAGGAGCATGCAGCTGACAAGTAAAAGAGTCCCTCCCACGTTGTGTCAGTCCCAGTCCGGATCTCATCTGATGTGATTGCAAGGATTAATGCCATGACCGACTGCAAAATACAAGTTTGTTTTTAGTTGTTTTTTTTGTTTAAGGTCGAACTCTGTAATATTCCAGTTATATGACGGCGGTCTGTAAAAAAATCGAGTCTGGACCAAACAATCCAGTGATTGACATCAATTGTGATTGCAATTGGGATGCGATGACATGCATGATCCAAGTCAGCGAGTCTGACCACCCGATCCCGTTAGTCGCCTATTACGCAAAATACAAGACAGGTATGGATGTATCATGTGGATGTCCATATGGTACAACAAATAACAGTAACGTAAGTTATGCTTATTTCTGAAGTGAGTGAGTATGGTTTTACGCCGCTTTTAGCAATATTCCAGCAATATCACAATGTACCCATGTCGGGAATCGAACCCGGGTCTTCGGCGTGACAAGCGAACGCTTGAACCACGTGCACTAAGCTACCCGACCGCCCCTTATTTCTAAAGAACAAATGTTGTCTACTTAGTAATATATCACGTTATTTATTTGCATTGTCAAATGTGTACGTGATTTTCACTTGCAATAACCAAGCATCATTTGAAAGATGAATGCTCTCAGTGTTTGCATTTAACTTATAGCATATTTCGGGTAAGTTGTGATTAGAAAACATGAAACCTTAGGCCTATTATTTACATTTCAAACAAATACCATCAGTACGGAAACCTTGTCACATGAGCTTATACCATGCCTGGTATAAATGTTCCTATCAGAAACAACGACACTAATGAAGCCCCAGCACCACATGCGTGTTCCCATCAAGGATGACTGATGACGCCTCAGTATGTGTTCATGATATTCTGATCCAATTTACTATGTGCCACAATGGCAGCTATATTGAAAATCCTTGTCAAAACTCAGCCACTGTAGATAAAATTGACGTTACATTTTTGTTAATGTGCAGACAGTATTTTAACTGAAAGTTCCATATTGAACATATTATCTTAATTGATCATCTACTGTGACCATGCCCTTAATTCTTTCAAAATGAACTCTCGGCTCTCTAAAACGGCTCTAATCAGAAACCTATGGACCTAAGAACCTGAAACGCCACACGCTTAGTCTCACCAAACATCAAGCCTAATTTGTTTCAGAGGTTCGAATCCCATTTCAATATGGCCACCGTCTAAGCCGTCAAACGTATTTAAGGGCATTACTCAACCATTTTTTAATATTAGATTTGGTAGATTTGACATTGCAATAATTTACTTTTTAACCTTGATTTGACCTTTGTGTTCTTTTTGTTCAAAGTTCATATATTTTATGCTTATGAACCTTATGATTTATAAAGGAGATACTGCATGATAATGACAATGAAAGATTCAAAGCATCGTGAAAAGCATTTAACCTTGATGGACACAGACGATGTTGATTTTTTTTCTTATAATCTCTTGAACAAAATTTGCTGAAGCTCAGCATAATATGGTAAAAGTGTAATAAAATCAACCGATGAATATGTTACTTTAAAAATATTAACGATGTTTTTGTTGTTGCAGATTTCATTGTTGACAAAGAGTTGTTTCACATGTAGAAATTAGTCGTAATTATGTACATGTAAGTAGAAACTAATTGCCCTTTGAACTGACCTGGGAGGTAAACAACAGTCCATAGTTCTGTACGAAGTGGCGCTGGCCAAATGTCTGCACTGTAGCCACTGGAAACAATGCGTAGTTTCCACAGAACGTTCCAAACGTTAAACACACGTAGATGAAGAACAGGGGCTTTCCGGCTAGCTCATTCAACTGATAGGACGCCATCAGCACTGTGAAAACTGCACACAAATACAACATAGCGACCTGTAACACAGACACATATAATCAGTATATAGTCATTTGCAGAAAGATAATTCCGAAATGATGATGACGATTTCAAAAAACATCATGTGACTCTTCCTCGTAAGTTGTCTGATCATGGCCTTAGTAAAGCATTCAAAAAGTGTTAAGGAAGGCGGTGGAGAACATTCCCAAATGCATCAGTGACTCTTGCTCATAAAATGTCTGATCAAAGCTTCAGTAAAATTTCAAAAGGTTTTATGGTTAGTGGTTCAGGACATATCCAATATAATACCAAAATGATGTCCGATATTATTCCCTTTTTTGGCTTGTACTATATATTCCCATGTGCGTTAAGGTCAACACTTGACTTGAGTTAGGATTTTTTTATGATTACAGAAATGGTTTTGTCTCTTTTTGTTTGGAGCAGTTCATACATGTTAGTGTCAGTTACATATACCTGAAGGGGGCACAGGTGGTCAAGTCGCCTAAGGCGACGCGATTCGCCGTGCAGAGTTGCGTCCCTTTGGCACACCAGATACCTATGATTTTGGGTTCGAATCCCGGTTCGCCACGATTATGTTTCTAGGTTTGTCAGCACCATATCCGTGCTCGTGGATATCACCGAAGTGGTAAACGTCTAAGACCTGTATCACTTCGGGCTTTCCTCCCACATTAAGCTGACACGCCGTGACTGTTAAAAGCGGCGTTAAACCCAACTCACTCACTTGTGTTATAGAATTTAATTTTGTTTGGGTATTGAGAAATACCGCATTTCAGAATGCCAACATTTGTTGTTTACAATTAAGTCTATAATAACAGCTATAGCTCATACTGCAAGATCACTTGAGTTCATAACTATGTGTTGTAGAGACCTGAGACGTACCTGACTTGCCTGACCGAACGAGATATGACAATGTCGCATTACATCCCCGTGTGGACAACACATTTGTTTCGTGAATCGAGCAACGGTATTGGTGCTTCTCAACACACTGAACTTGCATGATTATGTTTCTAGGTTTGTCAGCACCATATCCGTGCTCGTGGATTTCACCGAAGTGGTAAACGTCTAAGACCTGTATCACTTCGGGCTTTCCTCCAACATTAAGCTGACACGCCGTGTTATACCTGGAATAATGTTAAAAGCGACGTTAAACCCAATTCACTCACTCACTCACTCCATATACCTTAAAGGATACTTTGTCACCAAAATGTCCCCAGAAAATTCTGCCGCCAGCGTTGAACAAGGCGGCGACGCTTCCAACAATTGCCAGGAAGTGATCATCACGGATGATAGACAGTCCGTAAGCCTAGAATAATCAGTTCAAATATAACAAACTAAAAACGTTTCATTTTAAAGCTAAAAACGATATAATTAACTTGTTTCTACAATTTGGATGCATATTTTCCACAACACCAATTCATGTTGTATTAATTTACACTGGCGGCATATGATTACAAACAACAATTAACCTAGAAAAAACGTTAGGAACATGATGGAGTCTTTCTGCGAGTGAGTATGGTGATTAGCAGAAGTTCTAAAACCATAGACTAGATTATCCCAGACATGATTGACAATAATAGATCATTAAAAGGTTAATAACATTTATTTCACAGTACCATTTTCAGTACGGCAAACCTTTGAACGTTGTGGCCCCATATACCCTCCAGATTAATAATAAAGTATTTGTTCAAATATTGGCAAGATTTTATTGGACCTCCTACAGGGTGGTGTACCTAATATGACATAAGTAGCCTTATTAATTTATCAAATCAGTAGTAACATTGTCTAGATCACGATGAAGTGGCTTACCTTCCAGAAACTTGAAAAAAACACAAGGCCCTGACTGTTGAGGAGCAGTGCAAACCACAGCAGCCAGAAATCTTTCGTCTTCCAGCTGTGTCTCCAAGACACATATGCCTCCTCGACTAGACTGGCCGAACTATGAGTAATATCCAAATAGAGACAAAGGACAAATGCATATGTCATTGAATTCAATGAATGTTTTATTGTAGGTGACAAGTTGGAATGCATACGAATGAATATATACACTGTGTGAATGCTGTTGATATGCGTTTTTAGACGTTTTATAGGTTTTGGAAGCAGGTTGTTACAACAAAATCAGTAATCACTTATGGGACCATATTTGGCTACAATTAAGTTTTGGCAATTCGAACAAGTTTATATTTTTATACCAAGATTTTTGTGAGAATAATAAGTGATGGATCATGTTGTTTTGAAGTCTCTAAGTTAATTGATATGAACGCTTGACTGAACGGAATTCTGAAGACAAGTACTGAAAACATGTGATAAAAAGTTTGAACCCTAGCCATCGTTTGTCATATGTTCACTCCTAGCACAATACACTTGAAGCATCCGTCAAAATCACTGAGGACATGTGCTTCGAAACACTGCATAAAAAAACCTTTACATATGATGTTTATATGAAACTGAAAATACGACAATATTAAAATGAATATATATGAACCTAACGTCATATTTGGTGTCTCCTGGAGAAGGGATGAACTTTCCTCGAGCATCCTGCGATCTTCCCTTTCTCCGGAGTCTGTGAACATTTCCTCTCTCACATTTTCTTCCTCCCCTTCAATCTGCTATCAACGAACAGGACACAATTTTTCACTCGTTAAATGATTCTACTTCTCCAGTTATAAAATCACCTCATCCAATGATTCCTAAGAAGAATTATTCCTGGATAATTCATGACAAGAGGTGATGGGATAGCCTAAAGATTAAAACATATGCACGTTGTGCTTGATAGGAACATTGTTTGTGAAGCCCATTCCCTTTGTGTTGTTGCTGATATGTTATTATTAACAATTAAAACGATTAAATTATCCAGTCATGTACTTACCTGGACGTTTGGAGGGTCTGTGAGTAGAATGATTCCCATCACTTGTAGAGCTGCGTAACAGGCCCCCAAAACACTGAATACGCGAGGGACTCTGTTCAAAATAGCCTCTTGTGTAAAAAAGCTAAAACGGACAAAATGAGACATATTACTAAATAACACAAGTAAAATATGTACATTTATATGATGGGTAGGTTCATTGGGAGGATAAAGGAACGGATATAACCATTAAGAATAATGGAATAATGAAATCAATCTTCATCAGCTGATGAATGTCAACAAATACAATTTCAAACGGAAGCCATCACCTTGCCACCTGATGGAACAGACTTTGCCTCCTTCAAGGGAGAAGGCGTCAGAAGGTCCCCGTAGTTTAGTATCTGGCTGATAGTGGTGTGTTTTGGAATTGTATCACACGTGTATAATGTCTGTATAATTTTTAGCCTCATTTTGAATGTCTCTCTCTGTCGGATTTCATCGTTAAATGTAATCTGAGCAACAACGTTGCTTGCTTTCTGATCCGAATTTTCAACACAATGATAGTTTTTCATTTATGATTGCATAGCATGGTGGTCTACCTTCAGCCGCTGGCGATCTACAGCCTGTTTTTATCTTGTATCGTTGTGAATAGTGCTATTCTCTTTTATAATTCCGTACTAGTTTTATATCTATTTCTGTGATGAATCTAGTAATTTTACTGTCCTTCGTTGACAGGTTTTTATACAAGTTTCAATATATGTATTATGTTTAACTATTGATAGTCACGATATGGCTGAAATATTGCCGATGTGACTTAAAATTTAACTCACTCACTCACTCACTCACTCATTTATGATTGTGAGGAACGTCTGACTTCGGCTGACCAGTCAATTTTCAACACCTACTACAACCAGACGTCTGGCTGCATACAGGAAGTTCATTGTGAGGAGTCATGGACCATGTCTGAACACAGTATGGAGACCCAGAGAAACAACTGATTTTGAGAAAACATGAATTTGTGTTCCAAATTGAATGGGGGGCACGGGTGGCCAAGTCGTCTAAGGCGCCGCGATTCGCTGTGCAGAGTTGCGTCCCTTGCCAGCACCAGAAACCTATATTGTGGGTTCGAATCCAGGTTCGCCCCGATCATGTTTCTAGGTTTTATAGCATCATACCCATGCTCGTGGGTTTCACCGAAGTGGTAAACGTTTGAGACCTGCATCACTTCGGGCTTTCCTCACAAATTAAGCTGACACGCAGTGATCTAACTTAAATACTGTTAAAAGCAGGGTAACACGCAACTAACTCCTACTCCATGACTTTTTTATCAATGATTACCAACTGTATCATCTTTTTTCTGCAACCCACTCACAGGACTGTAAAGTCACGAGAGTTCTTTACATCTAAACATGCTTGTGGCAGTACTTGTCGTGCATTAAACTTGTTTATCTGTCACTCGTCACTTTCAATCTGTTTCTCTTTGGACTTTAGTTCATCTGGTTTCGACAAACTAGGTCTTTACATGGTTCATAGCAGTGTTGCAAGATCTACCATCTACGCTCAAGGGAGATTCTTTGTAGTGGGATAATTGCTGGCATCAATGAATTCACATTATCAATGTTACTTGTTACCTGCTTCCATTGTAAGTCTCACTTCATTACTGCTTTGGAAAAACCCTAATATACACCACACCTTGTGCATCCGAAGACATCCTGAATTGTTGGTACTTGGTAGTCCTTGGAATTGGTACAATACCTTCAAAGCCTCCTTCCAGTCAACTTTAGGCACAACTGTGGCACATTATCATGGACACGCTGAACCGCCTGATACTTGTGTGACCTCTCATAGACATCTGCTTTGTCATTCAAGGAGGAAACAGTTGATCTTCGATACTTCTGCTTGCATAAGCTAAAATCCAATTCGCGCCCAAACCGGGTATGATCAAAATGCGGGAAACAAAGTTCAAAGGAATGATTCCTTCCTGTCACAATCCTCCAGATCATTTACATCAAAGAAAACTTATTCTTTTTTTTTGTCCCACACAATTATCACAGTGCAGACTTATTGAATCCGAATGCATGGCAAAGGTATCCAGATAGTGATGAAGATAGTTTAGGGTAGAGTTAGCACTTGTCTATGTCTAATCAGCTTCATCTACCACTTCGCGCTGGACGACCAGTTTGAGTTGTCATTTTGAGGGACCTGCATCGTCGGTTGCGACGTCAAGGGTGTCAATGTCACAGAGTATGGCCACAACTGCGATGGTTTGGTTTGTGACAAGTCACGTTTTATGCTTCACTGTATGGATGGTAGACGTCGTGTTTACAGAAGTCACAGGGAACGTAATGCACTAAACTGCATACAGGAAGTGGACAAATTTGGAAGTGGTAGTGGCATGATGTGGGCAAACATTTCCTACACTGATAGAACTGACTTGGTGCAAGTTCTGGGGAATTTAACGGCACAACGTTGCATAGATGATAATCTATCCTTCCCAATATGCAACCAGCGAACGTCTTTTTCCAACAAGACAACATGGCCTCACACGGTAAGACTAACAACCTTTTTTCCGGAAACACAACATCCAGGCCTTGCAATGACCCTGCAGGTCTCCAGATTTAAACCCAATCATACATTTATGGGATGCACTGGATCAACGACTGCAAGCACTTCAGCAACAACCCCAGAACCTCTGACCGTTGGCACAAGCTCTACGGGCAGAGTAGGTGAACAATCCCCAGGCCACAATCCAGGATTTGACTGCTTCCATATAGCGACGATGTCAGTCAGTGTTAGACTCTAATGGTGGCCATACAACATATTAAGAACAGATGACCTTCACCTTGAACATCTTCTGTTCCATGTGTGCCATATGGAACATGGGTAAATGATATAATGATGTGTGCCAGTTTGGAATAATTACCATCTGTTGATTTTTTATTTGATATCTAAAATCACTTTTTGCATGGGTTTTTTTTGGAAAGAGGATATATGTTTTGAAATTTGCCTCGGTTTTTAGATACTATATCTGATCAATCGAAAGTAGTCATGTATGCTGAATTGTTTTTCAAGTAATGTTTTTATAACGTTACGAACGAACGCGAGAAAAAAAGAGGAAGATATTTCAGTACAGTTCGCAAGTCTTTATGACGACACAGCACAATTGTTTCCTTGCACCCATAAGGTCCCTTTCCTCATGTCGGGGACGTTAAACCCAATTTCACCTCACCTAACCTCACCTCACCTCACCTCACCTCACCTCACCTCATGGCGGGTCACATATATATTTATATGTATTTTTTACATCGTACAATTCTGACTTTATCATAACCATAAACCATACTGGTAGGACAGGACATGCTTACTCTTGTCGCCAACACCTGGTGTCATCTGCATGGATGTTCAGTTATCTATTTATATAACACATGTTATATTTGGGATGACACTTTCTTAGTAAAGAACAGATTCTCGTACTTTTGTGGGTTGAGTTCCGTCCGGGATTCGAACCCACACTTGCCAGAGTAAGGCACCTAATCGCCAGCACATTAAGTCAGTGATCTGACCCACTCAGCCACCGAGGCACATGAACGTCCAACAACTGGTAGTCTAGATCACGTACTTTGTGTATCCCTCTGACAAGTGTAAAAACTCGAACCTGGATATTCTCTGGCATTGACATTTCATGTGTATAAATCACTATCCAATGGTGATGATACCAGCTCTTCGCAAAAAAGGTAAGAGTGTACTGCCCCACAAGTGGCATCCGTCACCAACACATGCACAGACAAGTCAATTGTTCACCTGATAATCACGGGATCATATGGTACTAGTCAACCTGGAGAACTGCACCAAGCATATTTTTGTCACTCAGTATGATGCGCTAAAGTGGAAATGTCCACCACATATCTACCATCAAACGGTCTAAAAGAACTTGAATGTTGTACCTTGTTGTATGACGCTCCTAATATATTCATAGATCGACGGTACCTATAAAGTTGTGAAATACAGTCACCAAAGGCTGGAGCTGCTGGCATATATGTAGTGCCGTAGACCGAAAACGGTACTTACTTTTGAGTGGTGGAATTATTGTCAAGGTATTCATTGTCAGGGTTGATGTACCATGTCTGAACATAGTCAAATATGAAAGCTCCACCTCCGAATCCTGCCACTGTTAGACCACAGGCCAGTCCTTTTCTCTGAGGGATCCACTGTCAGATAAAACTTGAATTTAAAAATACGTACGTACAGATCTGATGTTGTATCAAGCAGAATTACGGTGGTTCAATCCCCTTCAAGCATCATACAGAAATACTTCACAAGATATGGCCTGAGTGGTGCTGGACGTTGTGGGGATAAAACAAAAACAAGGCGGTGAGTATAATGTGTCTGGGTCGGGTATCCATATTAAACTACGGCAATGTAACTCAGTGAAATAGCACCATACATCTGGTGTAAATATGTACTAGTACACGCAACCCTACACATACTTACATGCACGTCGCTATATAGGTGGAATAACCTCTCACCTTACCTGACCTCATATACGGGGCTTCCAAATTAAATGGAAAATATGCATGTAATGATCATCTAAACTGTTTAAAGAAGTCAAGTACTACAATAGAGCATTTATGAATGTCAAATTCTTTGTTATGAGGAACACAACGTTTGGGAGTATATGTTTACTCATTCTTCAGGTGGAATGTAGGACTAAGCATATATCCTAAAACGTTGTGTTCCTCACATTAAGAAGTTGACGTCTGTCAGTTCTCTCTCTTATGTGTGTCACTTCAAAATGCCATTCAAAGACTTAAAGTGTCATTACTTTCATTGCACAGCTCATAGGCACAGTGTATGAAATCCCAACACCAAGTCCAAACATCAGCCCATAGGTGAGAACCACGAGGTAGATGGAGTGTTCGATTGTGAGGGCGGTGAGCAGTGTGCCTCCGCTAAAAAAACAAATTGTTTAGGTGGAGGACAGGACTTACATCATGGTAAATCATGTTAAAAAGGGTATGCCTTTTTTCCCACTTTATCAATGTAAAGTATTTCGAAAGTATGAAGCTTAGATACTTAGAGGTTTGTAAATAAAGCGACAAAACCCTTTGGTGAGACAGGAAGATGTGACACTCGCGCCACAACTTGACATGAACTCGCTTGAGGAGTGAGTTTGGTTTCACACTCCTTGTTAAGGCACGCCAGTTATGCCATTGTATGTAAGCTTGGGGGAAAGCTGGTGTAGGTCATAGACACATTTCCATGCGCATGGTGCTTGGCCGCAAGTCTGCACATCCCCAGTCAACACTCTGCTTTTCTCAGCCGAATAGGACCTAGGAGACCATGTGGAACTTGTTCCGTGCACCAGGCACATGGCTCTACACTTATTGACGTGATCCTATTTATGCTCAGGGTGTTTAAATTTACTTTCATGTATGTTTGTAAAACCAAGAATAACCTGTCTATAAACAACGACTGTCATATTATGCGGACTACGAAATCGGGCGTTACAGTGATTGTAGAGATAACAGGCATTATCGCTTCTTAATTGCTACCAGAAGATGTAGGTACGTAGCTAAACATCCTGAGAGGACAGTGTCCTCGCCAGCATCCATGCCTAACTACAATTGTCGCATCAGTTTAACTTTCCAAAATGTAATCATACCACAGTTTCAGGGTTTTCCTTTTATGTTTTACTGATAACATACACATGACACAATCTAGTTTCAAGTCAGGGGGGACATGTTACACAATTAAAGACCATCATACCTCATAAGAACACATCCAATGGCCACAGTTACGCGAGGACCAAGTCTGTCATAGATCGCGCCCGCCAGGACGATCGTGCATCCCATGCCAATGATGGAAGCTGAGTACACCCATGCTGTGTCCGAGTAGTCGTAGAGGGTTTCATTTCTAAACTCTTCACGAAGGTAGGACGTGAGGTACGGGTTCAGGTTGCCTGTGGAAGAAGACAATATCACCTTGGATTGATCGGTTAAACATAGAAACATAAAAAAAACCGATGTTCTATAAAAACATAATGTCAGTTTTCTGGTGACAGTATGTGAGGGAGTGAGTGGGTTGAGTTTTTAAACAGTATTCCAGTTATATCACGGCATGTCAGCTTGTGTTGGAGGAAAGCGCGAAGTAAGGCAAGTCTCAGACGTTTACCACTAGGTGTTAGTGTCAGTAAGTGTGAGCGAGTGTTTGTTTCATTCTATGTGTCTCAAGAGTTTAGGAAATACATGTTTCTGTACATTTAATCAGGAATTATTTTACCACGATAGCATGAATACATAATGTGTTCGGCGATCTCCTGTGGCCTGCAAGATTACATTTACTGAACTTACACTACCATCATGCCTATCATAGCAGTGTAAAAGGCAAATGTATTAACGACAAGATAACACTGACTTACCAAATGTATATAATGTCCCCAATGTAATGTGAATAAGGACTCCGCCAATGATTACTCTGGTGGCAGGCCATCCGATCCAGCACGCCATCTTGTCCAGATGAGTAGCAAACAAAGTAGTCTTTCACGCAAATGTTTTATAATACAGTCGACGCAAACTGATAAAAAACGACCTTGATTTTTGTTTGTGATAAACACCTCTGAACGTGACAGAATCGAAATGTCCGATTGATTATATTGTTGATAACCTTGATGACAAAACAATGGTACGTGCTGTTGACAACCTTGCGGCCTTGATTGATAATGAATCTACTTTCATTCGTGAAATGAGAACGCTATAAATGAATAAATTGCAAGTGGTGCCATGACATGTCATTGGCTATGACAGCAATTCTGTTTAAACATTTATATTTCTAGGCAATGCCCACAATCGGAGTTCTGTTTTCGTATTGTCTAGTAACATGATACACGGGGCTTGCGTTGCATTGTTGTACTGAACCTTGTCGCTCATTTCGTATTGTCTGGTAACATGACACGCGGGCCTTGCGTTGCATTGTTGCACTGAACGTTGTCACTCATTTCGTATTGCCTGGTAACATGACACGCGGGGCTTGCGTTGCATTGTTGCACTGAACCTTGTCGCTCATTTCGTATTGTCTAGTAATATGATACGTGGGGCTTTCGTTGCATTGTTGCACTGAACCTTGTTGCTCATTTCGTATTGTAAAGTAATATGATACGCGGGGCTTTCGTTGCATTGTTGCACTGAACCTTGTCGCTCATTTCGTATTGTAAAGTAATATGATACGTGGGGCTTTCGTTGCATTGTTGCACTGAACCTTGTCGCTCATTTCGTATTGTAAAGTAATATGATACGCGGGGCTTTCGTTGCAATGTTGCACTGAACCTTGTCACTCATTTCGTATTGTCTAGTAATATGATACGTGGGGCTTTCGTTGCAGTGTTGCACTGAACCTTGTCGCTCATTTCGTATTGTCTAGTAATATGATACGTGGGGCTTTCGTTGCATTGTTGCACTGAACCTTGTTGCTCATTTCGTATTGTAAAGTAATATGATACGCGGGGCTTTCGTTGCATTGTTGCACTGAACCTTGTCGCTCATTTCGTATTGTAAAGTAATATGATACGTGGGGCTTTCGTTGCATTGTTGCACTGAACCTTGTCACTCATTTCGTATTGTCTAGTAACATGATATGCGGGACTTGCGTTGCATTGTTGCACTGAACCTTGTCACTCATTTCGTATTGTCTAGTAATATGATACGTGGGGCTTTCGTTGCAGTGTTGCACTGAACCTTGTCACTCATTTCGTATTGTCTAGTAATATGATACGTGGGGCTTTCGTTGCATTGTTGCACTGAACCTTGTCACTCATTTCGTATTGTAAAGTAATATGATACGTGGGGCTTTCGTTGCAGTGTTGCACTGAACCTTGTCACTCATTTCGTATTGTCTAGTAACATGATACGCGGGACTTGCGTTGCATTGTTGCACTGAACCTTGTCACTCATTTCGTTTGGTTTAACGCCGCTTTCAACAGTATTCCAGTTATTTTGAGGCACTCGTGAAGAGCAACCTCCTCGTGGTGAGTGCTGGGTAACGCTAATAGCTCTTCCCCCGTGTGGAACCGGGGCAGAATATTTCCACAGCCTCCCATTGCTGGTCGTATGAGGCGACTAAAATGGGCAACCTGTTTGCCGTGGGTTGCGTCCCTGTGTCGGCGGAGGACGGGAGTCTGGTGGTTGAGGGCAATGGTTCCAGGAATAGCGTTCCTTTGCCCAATACACCACTTCGACCCTTACTTCGCCTAGACGGGTGGTAGGATGGGCCCGGTCCTATCAATCGGCTGGTCATGCCATGCCCTGTGCGTTTAATTTCATTTGCACAATTTCGGTGGTCATGAGCTATATTTCAATTTATTGTACTGATCAATTTGACTTCAGATGTTCTTTAACTAATAGAACCATCTTCTGTTACACTCATTTTCGTGTAGACATCTATTGTTTGAAATTATAAAATCAAGAATTACTTGAACATTGCTATGTTTGCCTAGAGTCATAATGCCCAGAAGGCGGTGGCTCATGGGCCAATCCGGTGGAACATTTTTTGATGCTTCTGCTTGAGTATACCCTCTTGGTATCCTTGGTGTCACCTGTCGGAGGCCCACAGGTGTATGGCATCGTCCTTGTTGATACTCCATGGTGGGTGGGGAGCCAAGAGGGTGAAACATAATCACTACCACCATGGAACCCCCTATGAAAAAACGTTCCCATGATTCAGATGATTGGTTTGGTACTGAGGACGTTCGTCCGCAGGCTACTGTCACTTTTGAAAACTGGCCCAGATTTCTAGTCATTTCTGCTTTGGATGGTTCACCTCTTAAGCTTAACCCATTTGCCATTGAGAAGGCTATACAAGGCATAGCTGGAGATGTCGAAGATGCCAAAAGACTACGTAGTGGGTGTTTGCTGATAAAATGTAAGAGACACAAACAAGCAGTTAGCCTTCTGTCCATAAAGTCACTGGCAAATGTTCCCGTTGTGGTTTCTCCGCATAGGTCACTAAATAGCAGCAAGGGAATAGTACGAGACAGAGGTAGATTCCTGGCTGATATGAGTGAAGAAGATATCCTTGAAGAACTCAAAAGCCAACATGTTCTCTCTGTGAAACGGTTTACTTCAAAGAGAAATGGTGAGGTCACCAAGACCAATACGTACCTGTTTACTTTTGGTACTCCGACTCTTCCAACTTCAATTCGAGCAGGATATTGTAGTATCAAGGTTGATATGTACATACCAAATCCATTGAGATGCTACAAATGTCAACACTATGGACATGGTTCCAGAGCATGCGACAAACAGGCTGCTTGTCATCGCTGTGGTGGCAATTGTGCAGATGGTTCTGAGTGTGATAAAGATCCCTCATGTGTGAATTGTGGCGGTAACCATGTTTCCTCCTCAAAAGAATGTCCAGTATGGAAACGCGAGTCAAAGGTTGTCAAAGTCAAACATGAGCGGAACATCTCTTTTCAAGATGCTAAGAAAATTGTTTTAGATGAAGAACAGTGTGTTCGAAATTCTTACTCTGCAGCTGTTTCACGACCAAGTACACGGCCTGTTCCCCAGCCTGTTTCACACACAACTGTCGGATGTCAGACAGATTACACATGGACCTCAACGGAATCACCTGAAATACTTTCACTTTCTGCTAATTCAGCAATTGTCTTAGAAACTGCCAGTTCTCAAACACCTACCCAAAAACCAGCTAAGAAATCAAATCCAAATGTTGATTACTCAAAAAACAAAGGCAAATCAGATCGTCTCCCTAAGGGTCAAAGAGATCCTGTTACTATGTTTAATAGGTTTGGTGTGTTCGAGGACATGGATGTGTCTTCTCCACAAAACACACGATCCAGAAGCCATTCCCCTAGGAAAAAAGGCCGTGAAAGGTCTCCTGTCAGTGCACCATAATGCATAATAACACTATTATACAATGGAACTGTCGAGGGCTTAGGGCGAATTTTGATGAGGTTAAACTTCTATCTAAGGAATTTAATCCTGTGGCTTTTAGTCTTCAAGAAACATATTTAAGAGATTGCGATAATATTGACTTCCGTCAATATCATATGTTTCATTCATATGCAAGGGTTACCAATAGTAAAAGAACGGGTGGTGCCAGTGTACTCGTTCGACAAGGAACATTACACAGTGCTATACCGCTAAATACCAACCTACAGGCAGTTGCAGTACGATTAACTCTGCATATTGCTATTACTTTATGTTCTCTGTATTTACCTCCATCCACTGCACTTCAGATAAAAGATTTAGATACTCTTATCACCCAACTTCCTAAGCCATTTTTGCTTATGGGCGATCTAAATGGTCACAACCCATTATGGGGTTCAGGTGATCAAAATCATAAAGGGAAAATACTTGAAGAGTTGCTCCAGAAGCATGATCTCTGTCTATTTAATGATGGTAGCAACACGTATTTACATCCAGCGACTGGTACTTACTCAGCTCTTGATTTAGCCTTTGCTGATCCGTCTCTTTTAGATGAGTTCTCATGGTCAGTACATGATGACCTTTGTGGGAGTGATCATTTCCCAACCTTACTCAAAACTATCGTTCCTTGTCAGGACCCACCCATTACTAAATGGAAACTCAACAAGGCAGATTGGCAAACCTTTAGTACCATGTGCAGTGATGAATTAACCTTTGAAAATTTTATTGATGATCCTGATCAGATCAGATCATTTTCGGATAAATTAATCAACATTGCCACAGAAACTATCCCTAAGACCTCGACAAATCCACATGTAAAAACACCATGGTATAATGACGATTGTAGAAAAGCTAGGAAAAATAGGAAAAAGTCTGAAAGAGTGTTTAATAAACACCCAACTGCCAATAATTTAAACTGCTTAAGAATGTCAAGAGCAAAGGCTCGTAGAACAATTAAACAAAATAGACGTTCAAGCTGGAAAAAGTTTGTTTCAAAAATAAATTCTCGTACACCCCTTAATAAAGTATGGAATATGATAAGAAAGATAAAAGGAAAGGGGTCACAGAGCAATATTCAGCATCTACAATCTAATCATGATGTATTGACATCAAAACAGGATATTGCTAATAAGTTGGCAGAAACGTTCAGCCAAAATTCCTCCTCTAGCAACTATGACCCAAAATTTCAAAAATTTCAAAATCAGCAGGAAAGGAAAACTCTGAATTTTCGGTCTGATAATGCAGAGGATTATAATGAATCCTTTTCGTTGACTGAGTTACAAGAGGCTTTGAACAAGGCTCATGATACAGCTTCTGGTCCAGATGACGTACATTATCAATTTTTGAAACATCTTCCTGAGACTTCTCTTTTAACCCTTTTATCCATATTTAATAGTATATGGGAAAATGGTAACTTCCCTCCTTCCTGGCATGAGGCTACTGTAATACCTGTGCCTAAACCTGGTAAAGATCACACAGATTCTTCTAATTACAGACCTATTGCTCTGACAAGTTGTCTCTGTAAAACCATGGAACGGATGATTAACCGGCGTCTCGTTTGGTTTCTTGAATCAAATAATCTGATCACAGACATTCAGTGTGGTTTTAGACACAACAGGAGCACCATCGATCATCTTGTCCGAT